AGTTGGATTATTTGTAGGTGTTTTATCTAGTCTTCCAATATCTTTCCCCCCACCCCAGTCTCTCTTAATTGGAGTATTTAATCTAAATATAGGTAATGTCATTTCCAGTATATTTGGATTTAAATCTGCCATCTCATTTTGTCCTTTCTATTTTTTCCACCTCCCTTTTTCCCACTTCTTTTCCTCTTTATTTCTGCATTCTTTTGTTGGTCTCAGCAAGAAATATTGGACTGGGAGATGTCTAGCATATTGATGAAGTCACGGAAATGGATTAAATCACCCAGGGAGAAAGGAAAAACACAGTATCAGAGATGAAGAATTCTCTCCATGAGCTTATCAGCAGACTAGACACAGCAGAAGATAGAATCAGTAAATTTGAAGACAAGTCAATATAAATTATCCAAACTGAAGTTGAAAGAAAAAGTAAAAAAACAGAACAGACTATCCAAGATCAATGGGGTAATATCCAGACAGTTTAATACAATATTACTAAAGTCCCAACAGGAGAGAGAAATGGGATAGATTCCAAGAGATGATGGCTGAGAAGTTTTTTCTTTTCTTTTTTTAGTGGGACATAAAATTATGACATTTTAAGAGTAAATGAAATATATGGTAAAGTGGTCTCAGGCCCTTGGGAAGAAGAAAATTCAAACTTCTTTAGAACAAGTTAGGCTTCAAAAAACTCCTAGCTAGGGATTTCCCTGGTGGTCCAGTGGTTAGGACTCAGTGCTTTCACTGCCGTGGCCTGGGTTCACACCCTGGTTGGGGAACTAAGCCATGCAGCCAAAAAAAAAAAAGAAATCCTAGATAAAGCTCCCCAAAACAGAAGATCATAGTCATATCACAAATCCAACTGAGAAACTAGACACTATGGGCTAGAGTTAATGGAGAAAAAAGAAGAGTAGAGTCAGACCCCTTAAGACTTAAGATATTGGAGTTGTCAGCTCAGATTACAGTGTGTAAAACAAGAATATTTAATATGTTTAAGAATAAAAAGGGATTGAGATCATGAGTAAAGGGCAAGAGACCATATAAAAACTCAATGAGAGGATTTAATAGCGTTTTGCACAAAGTTGAATATTAAATTGTAACACATCTGAAGAAGTATCAGGATGTAGGAAAAAATGGAGAGAGGGAGGGCAAGAAAGAAAGAGAGAGAAATGGAAAATACGTGAAGAGATTAAGAGTTAGATGATAAAGAATGAGAAGCTCTAATGTGTCTAGACAGAGTTCCAGAACGAAAGAAAAAAAAAGAATAGGGCAGAGGCAGTGTTCAAAGAGGAGATCCCAGAATTTGATGAAAGACACAACTCACAAATTCAGGAAGCCTAATGAATCTCGAGCAAGATAAAAAAGAAGTCTACATGTAGACACATCCTAGTAAAACTGTACAATACCATAGAAAAATACACAATCTTAGAAGAACTGTTGTAGTAACATGGAAGTCAGAATACAGTGTCAATTCTGTTATAATCTAATGGAATGTTGAATGTGCTCAGAGCAAACAACCATCAACCTAGAATTGCACACCCAGCAAAAGTATCTTTTAAGAGTAGAGATTAGGGCTTCCCTGGTGGCGCAGTGGTTGAGAGTCCACCTGCCGATGCAGGGGACATGGGTTCGTGCCCTGGTCCGGGAAGATCCCACATGCCACAGAGCGGCTGGGCCCGTGAGCCATGGCCGCTCAGCCTGCGTGTCCGGAGCCTGTGCTCCGCAACAGGAGAGGCCACAACAGTGAGAGGCCTGCGTACCGCAAAAAAAAAAAAAAAAAAAAAAAAAAAAAAGAGCAGAGATTAAAAATAGATAAATTTTTGGATAAAAAAATCAGTTTGCCACCAGAAGACTCTTCTAAAAGAAATTTCAAAGAAAGTATTTAAGAAAGAAGGAATGTGATTCCCTTTGAAAGACTTGAGATGCAATAAAGAATCTCTTATAATCAATATTTAATTGGATTGTATGTGGTTTTTTTGTTTTCTGTTTTTGCGGTACGTGGGCCTCTCACTGTTGTGGCCTCTCCCATTGCGGAGCTTAATAGCCAGACAACATGAAATTGCCCAGGATGCTGAGAGAAAACTATTGAGAAGGATCGAATAGGGAAAAAAATCATAATGTGTTATATATTCACTTTTCAATTTTAACTAATTTATCCAAATGAGTTCAATACTGGCATTCCACAAAATACATCAGCCTTCTCTTGCATACTGATTAAATAGCTCATGTGAGAAATAGTGGAGAGATGTTAGATGATAGAGATGCTTTGAAAGTGTATCCAAAAGATACTAAACTGAATAAAAGAAAGGCTGATTGTAGAGCCTTTGAAATGAGATTTATCTTTAGGTCTGTTAACTAGAAGGAGCTACTTATCTACCCTGCTGTAGAAGGCTAGCAAGGAATCATTTATCATTCCTTTCCCCTTCTCATTCTTCTGTGCTGCTTTATAGCAAATGAATATTCTCAACTTGCTTTGAGATGTCTAGTTTTTAAGTGGAACTGCTGAGGCAAATTGGACCACTTCTTTGGATCAGTCCCACAGTTTTGAGCCAAAACCTCATTAAGACTAACGGATGACCAACAGATCTGTGTTGGCTTTTCAAAATTAGCAGTGCATCTTATTTGAAGAATAATCTTGTAATGTTTAACCCCATAGCTGGCCACAGTCTCAAGTAATGCTTTTTGCTATAAAGTCTAAAAAGTTGAACGTTAATAGTTACTCCAGCTTCTTTTGGTTAGTAACTTGCCTGGCATATCGTTTTCTGTCCTTTAACTTTCAACTTTCTAAGTCCTCATGTTTTAGGGATATCTCTTATAATCAGCATGTAGTTGGATTTGTTTTTCTGACAGTTTTTTATTTTAATACTTTACATTTCTAGTGATTACTTATAAATCTGTTTCTTACATCTTTTTACTTTCTATTTTCCTGTTTTTTGTTGTCTGTCTTACCTTTATAAAATTGAAGTTATCTTAATCTTTCCCCCTTTGCTACTGCTATTTTTCTGATAACAACCCTTGGAATTCTAATACAAATTATGCTTAATTTAACAAAGTCTAAAGTTAACTCCATCTCAATCAGTAGAAGGACTCTAGAACGCTTTAATTTCAAACACCCTTTCCTATTATATATGGCTGTGTCTGCTAGCATTTTTTTTTAACTCTTTTCCATCCTGCAAGCTAGGTGGTGTTGTTACTGTTGTGATTATTAATCTGTATATTAATTTCATTTCTTACCACTTTTAGTATTTCAGACTTTTTGTCTGGCACCATTTTCCTTCCTTAAAACAGTGACTTTCAAGTCCTCAGTAAGAATATTTTTAATATTACAACCACACAAACACAACTGAAACAAAAGTTTTAGAAGACAGTATTTACCTTTATTGTGTGAAATATCCTCTGTATTTTTCTACTCTTTTTTTTTTTTTTCTGCCTGTTACAATCTACGAAATCAATGTCATGACCCACTAGTGGGTCATAATCTATGATTTCAGAAATACTGCTTTAGGAAGTTCCTTTTTAATGAATCTGTAGGTGGTAAATTCTCTTTTTATCTGGAAGTACCTTTATTTCATCATTTCTGAAAAATATTTTCATTTGGTATACAAATGAAAATGTTTTCTCTCACACACCAAAGCATACTATCTTCCATCTTTTGATGTTGCTTTTGAATCTTCTGTCAATCTGATTGTGGGTGATCCTTAATTTTTTTCTGGGTAGTAGTATGATTTCATTGTCTTTGCTCCCATAGTTATGGGACTCAATGAGTGTTTCTAGGTGCTTATTTTTATTTAGCCTGTGTGGTATACCTGTGCTTCCTGTACCTCTGGAGTCATGTCTTTCATCAGTTCTGAAAAATTCTCAGCCATTATATCAATAGAAATATAATTCACTTACTATAAAACTCACCCTTTTAAAGTGTACAGTTCAGTGGTTTTTAGTATATTCCACAAGGTCATGCAACCATTGTTACAATCTAATTCCAGAACGTTTTCACCACCCTGCTACATTTTTTTGAGCTGTATCTTGACTGTCTTTTAACCCATCCTCTAGATAGTTGGTGAATTTTTTTGTTTATTTTTTACAGTTAGGTTTTTCAGTTGTAAAAATCTCATTTGGTTCTTTCTGCAATCTGCCTATTCTTTTGGTTTTGATTTTTTAGTGTTTTATGTTTGCTAATTTTTGTAATTCCATTTTATATTTTAAACATTTTATAGTTACTTTATATTCTGTAACAGACTATTCCAAAATCTGAGTTCTTGGGAACTAAATCTATTGCTTATTTTTTGTGACTCTTGCTTGTGATAGATTTATTTCCTTTTGTGTGTATAGTAATCTTTGATTGTAACTCATATTTTATTGATCCTAATCTAGGAAAAAATTTGGGACCAAAATTGAGGATGCTTTCTGAGAATATATTTTATTCCCACTGCCAAAACTCAGAGATCCTGGGATTTCCAGCCTACTTCCAGGTTCTTTTCCTTACTAGTGAGGCTTCTCAAGTTTAGTTCCCCCACCTTGCTCAAACCTCAAGCACGAGTGTCACCCACATGTCCTAAGGAGAGCCCTTGCCCATCACAGCTCTGATTTCAGTTTCAGGTCATAGCTGATTTTTAAATTTTGTTTTGTTTTTTCTTCTCTGATTGCCCTTCTTGGGGATTTACTTTTCTCTCTGTGGTTCCTGCAGTGCACTGAAAATTGTGTTTTATATATCTGGTTAGTTGAGGGGTTTTTAGCCAGGGATAGGAGTAGGGAATGCCACAGTATCTAGTCCACCACACTGCCAAAAGAGAAAGTAAAATTAAACTCTGAACTTTGTTTGAAGACAACCGTTAGTATAACCACACGCTAATTACCCCACCATATTGCTACTTCTGCTCTATCTGACTTTAACTGGTACAATTAAATGTTATGAAAAGCCCTTTTTCCCTCTTCAGGGAAGACTACTTTTTTATAACATTCACTTAAAACTCTACCAAGTCATTTTTTGTTTTATTTTGTGGTTCTTACAGGATTATGTTGATAAAGAGAAGGCAATTGCCAAAGCGTTGGAAGACCTCAGAGCCAACTTTTACTGTGAACTCTGTGATAAGCAATATCAGAAACATCAGGAATTTGACAACCATATCAACTCCTATGATCATGCACACAAGCAGGTGAGGAACAGTTAATTTCTAACAAAGAAAAAGATACTTTATTTGTTATAACTATTGCATTTTATGAGTGTACCCCAAAAAACTTGTTGACTATGGTTTCTTGTATCTGCCTGTCTTTATCTGAGGTCATCTGACTGACTTGACTTTTCTCCAGTGACAGAGTCCCGACATTGACCTCATCCTTCCAAGATTGTATGTAGAGTGAAGAATTGTGAGCTTCATAAATCGTGCATAAAATTTTTGGCTTTGAGTGGTTTCTAAATTTGTATTTTTCAACTAAGGATCACTGGGAGCTTTGTTTCCCTTTCTCCCCCTTTCTGAACTTGTTAAACTTTGAATAGTTATCTCAGACTGTGGTCATTTCCTCTTCTGTATCTAAGAATTCATGCTGTATTGGTTATTTCCTATCAGTAAGTCATTTTGTTACTTGGTATACCTTGGAGGATAGATAAATTTAGAGGAGGAAAATCAAGTTAGATGCTATTTTAACTTCAACAGAAAATTCTGATGCTGCATGTTGAAGAGCTTTCTGAAAAATGAATTACACCTTCTTTATGGTCTTTTTCTTTTCTATTCTATTCTTTTCTTTCTTTCTTTTTTTTCTTTCTTTCACTGATTTAGAAAAGAAACGTATTCCTAACTAGTACTGGCATAAAGAAGGCGGCAATAATTCCCTTGGGGGATTTTAGAAGGAGGAAATGAATCTTTACATCTATAGAACAATTCTAACTTATTAAAGAATTTTGAGCCATTTGATCTTAGGTGACTTTAGCAGAACTTGCTAAGTCTTTGGGGATACAATGGTTGTAGTTGTTAAATTTGTAAGATTTATGAGCATTACTGGAATGCTCTCGTAAGCTGGACCTGTCAAACCAACTTTTTTTTTTTTTTAACCTTTTTTTCATCTTCCAACCAACCATAAGATTTTAGTGCACATAAAAGGCGAGCTTTGACTAAGTTTTCTTTTACTGGTACAGGAATAGTTTGTAAGCTGGTTGTGGTCTTATACTTTTTCCACATTTAACCACACCTAAGCCGTTTAAGATTCTTCCACTGATAGAGTTATATTGAAGACAGCTTTTCAACTTTTTATACAACTTTGGACAATGTTTTAATATATTGTCAGCTCTACTTGATTTGAGGAAGAGAAATCTAGAGAGCATATATATGGACAAGATATATTAGCAATTACCTTACTACTTCAAAGAATCATCTGTCAAGAAAGACAAATGCAACAGTGAATATTGCTTATCCAGTAACTTTTCCAGCTTTTTGGTGTGTGTGTAGTTCAGATTCGGGGTTTTGTTTTTGTTTTGTTTGTTTGGAGGAATTAACAAAGATATTTAGCATCTAAATACATATCTACCATTTTGGGCTCTTGAGAATTTCTTCGGTTAAGAATTGTGTATGATAAATTAAAAGAATTGATATATGTATAGCTAAATCACTTTGCTGTACACCTGAAACTAACACATTATAAATCAACTATACTCCAATATAAAATAAAATTTTTTTAAAAAATGAAAAGATTCCAGAGGAAACTTTAGGCACCAAAAAAGAACAATTAGAAAGGTTACATTTTTAGTTGAAAGAAGTTTCTTGACTTCCCTTTCAATTAGAAAAAAATGAACCAGGAAAAGTGTGATTCAAACTTGAATCATGTATAGACTTACTTTTTAAGGGGAAAAAATTCTATCAGAGCAAAACAGATTTACAAATTAAATATGAGCAAAAATACGGAACTAATAAAATTCACATTGACAACATTAATGTGATGGATGGTAATGTTTTAGTGATGTTGCTCTCAGTTTGAGAGTAGTAGAAATTATTACAACTGATTCATTTAAATTTGACATGTTTATTCTCCCGTGCACCTTGTGTTGCCTCTGTTCTCTCATCACTTTTCTCTTTTGCAGTGATTCTCCATCTGGGGAGATTTTGTCCCCCAGGGGACACTTGGCAATGTCTGGAGACATTTTTGATTATCACAACTAGGGAGATGGTGCTACTGGCACCTAGTGGGTAGAGACTAAGTGTGCCGCTAAACATCCTACAATTCACAGAAAAGCTCCTTGCAACAAAGAATTACCTGGCCCAAAATGTTGATCAGTAGTGCTGAGGTTGAGAAACTCTGTTCTCTTAAGACTACTGAAAAACTTTCAAATACATATGATATTGTGGTATTGTTTGGCCTTTGTTTGGTACAAACCAGTCAATTTCATTTTAAGTCCCCAGTTATGTTGTAAACATTTCTATGTTCTCATCTAAATGATCTCAAATATTTATTATTATTACTCTTTTTTAGATTATCATCAAAATGAAAATACAAAATTAAGGATTTCTTATATTGAACTACCTTATCCATTAATATAGAATATATCTGTGATCCCTGGTCTGGGAAAAAAGTCTTTAGCTGGTGTGATTAATGAATGCATGTAAGCTTATTTGTTCACCTTGATCAAAAGCCCATCTTAGGTGGGCTGTTCTTAAACAAAGAACAGATGTGGTGTAAGTTTGTTATTTTGTTTGTTTTTTGGTAGTGTTCTCTATTTGGTTAAAATGTAGGCTTTTCATCTTTCTTTATACTGTTCTCAATGCAAGTGGTAGGATCTTGAAACAGAATGCTATAAATATATAAACAAAAAAATGCACAGTACTGAATTTTTTATAGTTACTTTTCCCTGCCCTTAGAATTTCTAAGGAGACTTTAACTGACCTTGGTACAACACAGCTAAGTAATCCCTAAGAGGAGGAGGTAGGTCCTATTTTTCATTCCTCTTTGACGGACATGAACTTACCATACAAATGGACCTACCATTTTCCAAATTTATGCTCTAAAATCATAAAGACACCCTGTCTTGTCTTCCAGGAAGGCACACAGGATTATTATGAATCTGAGATAATAGGTAAGTACATTCAACCCTATATTAGTAATCCCTAGTTTGCATCTTTCATCAAATTTTCACCATTAAAATTTTCCAGAGAAATAATATGTTAGTGGTAAACTTACTAGTGTAGGCAGGATCCTGAACATGCCCTTATCTTTATTAAGCACAAGTAATTTCTCAAAAAGGAGCTATGTGGTCACCCTTATTTGTGGTGATTTTTTATCCCCCTGCCCTTTGGTGCTGTGTACATCTCACTATTCACTCATTTTTCTCAACTTTTCTAAGATATTTTGTGAAGAGAGTCATTAATACACAGATATTAAGACCCAGCTTGATTTTCAGAGATGAAAAACCTAATTAGACATTTTGGCTCTTTTTAGCAGTTTAATCCCTTTAAAAGTGATAATTTCATACATTTTGAAATCTTCAAGGGTAAGCCTTCCATTCTTCAAGGGATGACCCAATGTATGATTCATTTTTATATACGTTAGTTCTGATATGCCTGAGTGCTCAATAAACATTAGTATTTATCTTCTACCTTTGTTGGCTTAGTTATAAGTTAAAGTTGACTTTGAAACTAAACATTTTTCCGTCTCTACCTTCGTGCCTCTTTATTTTGCATATCTTTTTAAAGAACATATCTGCTAATGAATATAACAATGGAAACCATTTCTTTAGTCTTGCAAGGTTTAAATTTCAAACTCCAAAGAATATTCTCTTTCCCAGAGGTAAATCTGTAGCAGCACAGTAGTCGGTGCCTTATTTTAATACTGGTGTGTTTTGGTTTTGCTTTTGCTTTCTTGGTGCCTTATTACCCACTCAGGATTCTTCCAGTCTTACCCTCTTTTATTTGTGCCACTAAGGGGCTCTCCTCACTAGCCTCCAGTACATAAACTAGAGATCACAAATTGTCCCACAGATGTACAATTGACCCTTGAACCACACGGGGGTTAGTGGTGCCAACCCTTCCAGGCAGTCGAAAATCTGTGTATGATTTATAGTTGGCCCTCCATATCTGAGGTTCCTCCCTATCTGTGGTTCCATATCTGTGGATTCAAGCAACCCCAGATCATATAGTACTATAGTATTTACTGTTGAAAAAAATCCACATATCAGTGGATCTGCACAATTCACACTCGTGTTATTCAAGGGTCAGCTGTATTTTGCCTGGTCTTTGTGGTGTCAGTTTTTTTCTCCTTTAATTTCAGTTGGTTCCCAACTTTTTAAAATGAGATATTATATCATTCAGGCTTTGGCTTATCTTGAAAAATTGAAACATCTGAGAACATTGGGCCTGCATATCAACATAACAGTTGGGTAAAGCTGATTAGTTGCCTTCTCTTTAGAAAGGCATGTTCTCATTCTCCAATTAGATATGGTTTCCACTTCATCTCTTCTCTTACATAAGCCTGTGAGACTCATTACATTACCTACCAAATCCCTCTAAACATTTGAATTTGTGACCCAGGCCTGTACCTTTCCTTCTTTTCCACACAGGCTTCCACAGGTTCTCATTGACACTAGGGAAGTAGCGCATTGAAAAGATGCCTTCTTACTCCTCCTTAGTGTTGGGTACAACTTCCTTGCAATTTCAAAACCATCTGTGGTAGTCCAATCCAATATCAAAATCTGGTACTGTAAAGCAGCTTTGAGAAATTCCTTTAACTTGTACAAAGAATCAGTATCTCCATCAGAGGAAAGAATGCTTTCAGCCTGCCTCTTCTTTTTGCTAAGGTAGCTTCAGTATGAAAACCCCTGTACTTAAGTACATTTTAAAAAAAAAGAAATACGAAGGTCTGTTTTATCTGTAAAAGCAGTGGTTTCCTGAGCTTTATAAATGACTGAACTAAAACAAATCAAGCCTGTAGCAGCCATTAGTGATTTCTCTATTCTGAATTGTACAGAATAGAATCTATAACTACTACATGGTTTAGTTAACTTTGTCTAAACTTTGTCTAATACTTCTGAATTGAAGTATTTTCTGAGAAATTCTTTGGTGATAGAAGGAATGATCATTTTTGGACTTCACATAAACTTCATTCAAGTTTGGACTACTTTCCACTTGAAGGTTCGCTATTGACTGGTCAGATTTTTTTGCCTCTCGATGCATTTGATCCTCTGTATGCTTGGCACATGTAACATCAGGACAGTAAGCACACCAAAGCCAATTGAACCTCTGGGAAGCCACTGCAGATCTGATGAAATGTAACTGTATTCCTTTTTCAGTGCAACTTTGATATTCAGTGCAGGTGTTGGGGGGGGCAGTGCAGAAGTAAAAACAAAATTAAAAAGGCAAGGTGAGAAAAGATAATTCTAGGGCTAAAAGAAAAGGACCTTTCTAAGAAGTGAAATCCCTAAGATCAGATACCAATGAAGATATTTCATAGGTGCTGTATATTTTGGATGTTTATAGAATGTTTATACTTAGAAAACCATAAATTGATTATTGTAAAGATGTGAAACAGGTTAGGAAAATCATAAAGTATTTGTGAATCCCAAAGCTTCATAAATGTTGACTTAAATAGCACAGTTCACTTCTGAAGAGATTATTCTTTGAGAAGCAAAAGCAAGTGTGGAGAGAGGAATGTATCTCAGAACTAAAGCATATTGTAGTTGTATTTTAATAACCTGTATCAGAGAGGTGAAAATTTTAGGTTCAGTGATATTTTGTACACTGTGGATACCATTTTCTTTGGGACTGTTTTGTCTAATAAGAGAATTGACATCATTTGGCCAGTGTTCCAACAACTGAGCATGATTCGAGCCTTTTCACCTGTTAAATCTTATATACCCACCACCTCTGCTTTTGTTGAGAATAGATTCCTTACACCCTGCTGTCACAACCTAGTTAACCTTGGAAAACTCTGCATCTGTTTAGGGAAGCTGTCTGCTTTTGTGAGTCGAGGTAACTCTAAACAGACCCTTTGGGAGCTAAGGTTGCTGGTAAACCCTGTATTCTCATACTGTGTATTTCTAACTCTGTTCTTTATCTTGACACACAATTCCAAAGTGAATAAAAATGATTCTACCTAATTTATGTTTTGTAGCTTTCAACTGGTTTTCTGCTTCTATACACATGCATTCATCACAGTGATGCACTGTGGCAGAGATTCTGGGATGAGCCTGTATGTTCTATTGTAGTCTGAAAAGTTAAAGCAACTTAAGGAATAATGATAAGTTTGTGAGCGACAGTACTGAAAAGAGAACTCTGAACTAGGATGCTGCTGTTCCATTTGCTTTGGACCTAAGCAACTCTTAACGAATTATGCTCCTTCAGATTTTACCTAGAGGGCAAATCTTTGCCTCCAGATATGATCTCTAGAGGATTATGTAGATATACTTAAAACTTGTTATCCACAAAACCACAGTGGTATATACTATTTCACACCTACTCAGATGGCTAAAATGAAAAAGACACAGTAAGTGCCGGAGAAGATATGGAGAAATTGGAACTCTCCTACACTGCTAGTGGGGTTGTAAAGTGGCGCAGCCCCTCTGGAAAACAGTTTGACAGTTCCTCAAAATGTTAAATATAGAGCTACCACATGACCAACACATACTTAAGAGAAATGAAAATATGTCCACACAAAAACTTGTACAAGATTGTTCACAGCAGCACTATTCATCATAGCCAAAAAGTGGAAGCAACCGAAATATCCATCAACTGATGGATAGATATACAAAATGTGGTACAACTATACAATGGAATGCTATTCAGCAATAAAATAGAATGACTTACTGATAAATACAACATGCACGAATCTTGAAAATATTATGCTAAGTGGAAGAAGCCAATCACAAAAGACCCTTATGTTGTATGATTTTATTTATATGAAAAGTTTAGAATAAGCAAATCTATGGATAATATAGTTCAGGTTTCCAGGGACTGGGTAGAAAGGGGCAGTGAGGAATGAATGCTAATGGATGGGTTTTCCTTGGGGGATAATGGAAATATTCTAAAATTAGATAGTGCTGATGGTTGCACAACTCTGAGAATATGCTAAACCCACTAAATTGTACACTTTAAATGGGTGAATTTTATGATACATGAATTACATATCAATAAAATTATTTTTAACAACTTCATTATCAAACTTAAATTTTGGTAGTGATGATGGTGACTTCATATATTGAATACGTGTGTGTGTGTGTGTGTGTGTGTGTGAAAATACCTTAAAGCAGTATACACCTGGTGCTATTAAAGAATATAACATACTTTTAAGGCTTTTTGCTGTATTTCTGAATATAAAGCAAATATAACAGTGATTTTATGACAAATTAATTTGATATTAACCAAATGATACTAAGTCATTGTGTTTCAGAGTAATGGGGCACAAATGGTATTGCCATAAATGACTATTAGAACTACCGTTACCTAGCCAAAAGAATGTATACTTCGCTTTTTCCCCTCTGAGTTTTCTCAGTATCTGTAATCATCATTAGTGTTTGGTTTTCTCTGTTACTGAATAAAACTCATTTTCATCACTTACTGATATGCATGTGCTAAAAGAAGAATTTACACCTCAATGCCCAGTAACTTGGATTTCCTTAACCTTTCAACTATAATCTTTTTTCTGTGAGTAGTTTAACGCTGAGGCTTTCTGTGTTCTCTACTGGTCTTTTCCCTCCCTCATCACATGGCGATGTTCTGGCTGGTCTCATCCAGAGGCATCAAACACTGAGACTTGAAGTGGGTAACCTGGCCAAGCAACTACAGCATGACTACTCCAGTTTTGGAGGGGAAAGGAGTTCCTCATTAATGTTATGTCATTGGAGAGAGACAGGAAACAGTGGGAAGAAGAGGCCGTGGATTTGGGGTATGTGGGGTTGTTGACATAATGGAAAGGGAGTAGTTGAGTTCAGAAAGGGCTGGATCATGTTTAGGCAGAAAAACAGATTGAGTTGCAAGCAACCACTGCTTCTTTGATCACCATTTTCCATCTCTGTTTGTAACCAACAAATAATACGTAAAAGTATGTATGTGTTCCCTTTCCCAATAACTGATTTTAAAACTGAAACAAGTTTGATAAATGTTTATTGAACATCTCTTTTGTGCCATAGACAATGGTGTGTGCATTGCAGGGTTAGTTATAAAGGAAAACTAAGAACAATCTCTGGGAGAGTGAGATTGCTATCTGGTGAGAAAAAGAAATCACAGATAATCTGACCCTGAAGAGACAGAATTAGGTTTCTCTTTAGAATTGAGTAAATATTAGAACATAGGATTTTTAGTGGCAATAGAAAATACTCTCTGCCTGTTTTCTGGTGCCTGAAATTCCCTTCACATGGAAACAATGTTTTTATCCTTTAAATTGCAATAATAGATTTAAAATACTTGAGAAAGATAATAGATTTATTCCTAGTAAAGTATACTCAATCAAATATAAGCTTCTAACATAAAATTTTGTTGTGATTCAAGAGTAGCATCAAAAGATATAAAAAGTATTTTATTAGACTGAGATCCTTGTTATCTTTTGTTGATAGGGAAAACTGTCTCATTCATTCCCAGCTCAAACACAGTGCCACTTCTTGCTATTGACACTCCACATTATTGATAATGTGGACAAATATATCACCTACACTGAAAACCTGGTAAGATTTACCAGATTCTCATTTCTCTGGTTTAATTTGTTTGCAGATGGATAGTGGAGCAGGATTTTGGGTCTGGAGTAGATATTTTTCTGCCAACACAGTGCTGTTTAGCTGGTTTTAAGAACTAGAATGTCATTTACATTTGAAGTGGTCTTTAGCCCAACTGTGGATGGGTATTTCAAGTGCTGGGTTATTTGTTAAGTTCTTCCCTCTACTGATTTTTTGGGAAATTTAATAGAAACCCCAGCTACCATGTGAGTGAAAATCAGTGAGAAATTATGTTCTCTGTCACAAATGTATACTTTTTTGGAAATACACTATTCATTTTTCAGGAAAACAAGATCTTCAAACCCTTTCATTATGAATGGGGTTTGGTCTCCTTTCCCTTGAATCAAATATTTTTCAGCTAAAAATGTGTTATGTGGCTCAAATTTATATTACTAAGTATTAATAAATAAGCAAATTTATTAGTAACTCTTCAGAAAGCATACTTTATAATTTTCAGACATAAGGACATAGTAGCTTTGGAGTCACCTTAAATGATTAATTAGATCCATTCAGATTAGACTGTGTGCTAGTTTGGAGTGTAACTTGAATTTGTGTGTACAGTATGGAATTTGCTCAGCCTTTGAAAGTAGTTTCTGGATTGATGACACATCTGTACTTTTTGGTTTCCTTACTTGAACTCTGTCTCTTCTCTGACAGTTATGTTGCTCCTCTATTCTTGCCTTGAAAAAGCTATCTGAAGTTGAGTTCCTCTTCAGAATTTAAGTGGAAAGTAAAAAGTACAGGTCACACACACAGAGAATTTCATACGGGTATTCAGTGGCATATGAGCCAAGCTTGGTAGCCTTTTGGAATAAAATAGGCAACTGGAAAATCTGATTCTGAATTGAGGGCCTTGTACCTTTATGAAAATTACTTTTTAGATGGGAAATTGAGAAGTTTCTGGTCAGTATCTTTTTTGCCATTGGCCCAATTCTGTTCAGGAGTAAGGGGTTTAAATTTTTAGGCTTTTTGGTTCTCTAAGGAATGAGACTTCCGGGAATTCCCTCATGATCCAGTGGCTAGGAGTTGTTTTCACTGCCGGTGCCTGTGTTCAGCCCCTGGTTGGGGAACTGAGATCCTGCATGCCATACAGCATGGCCAAAAAAAAAAAAAAAAAGAGAGAGAGAGACTTCCTTACTGTATGAGAGTAATAACTAGGAAAAACATTATTTAGCTTGAATATGTCCCTAGTAAATATTGATACATGAAACTATTTCATATCAAACTTTCCTACAGGTGGTAACGAGGATTTGTCAAGGATCCAGTGTTTAAGCCAAATTATTCACCAGCCATTTACCAGATGAGTTCTGTAGCCTTGGCGCTGCTCCTTACGCTGCAGGGTTGATTATAAAGATAAGCTGTAGTCCCTGCCCCAAATAAAGGGGAAGGGGCAGTATTGAACAATTTGGACATACTATATGCTTTACTCGTATTTATTTTGACACTTAATCTCGTAAATCTATTGCTAGATAGCCCTGTTTTTCTAATGGGGGAATTGCAGCTCAGAGAGGTGAAACCACTTGGCCAGTAATTAATGGATTTGAACCCAAGTCTTTCTCACTCTGAAATTTTACACAAACTGCCCTTCTGAAAGACAGGAATAAGTATAGTCAGGCTAAATATGATGATTGCTAGATCACTGCTATAACAAAGTGTTAATAAGACAGTTCACAAAGAAGAAAAATCCTATCTTTTGTGAGGGATCAGTAGAGACTTTGTGAGGGGAATTTAGTTTGACCCTGAGAAGAAAGGAGAGACTTGGAGTTAGGAATCCATTTTTATCATCAGAACACCCTTATCTGAGAGAGACCCCAAATATACATTTTGGGTTTGAGAGAGTTGCCAAGCCCTGTCTTTAAGGTTTGGGTTAGAATTCTAGGGTTCCCAATTCTTTTTTTTTTTTTTTTTTTTGCGGTATGCGGGTCTCTCACTGTTGTGGCCTCTCCCGTTGCGGAGCACAGGCTCCGGACGTGCAGGCTCAGCGGCCATGGCTCGCGGGCCCAGCCGCTGCGCGGCATGTGGGATCCTCCCAGACCGGGGCGCGAACCCATGTCCCCTGCATCGGCAGGTGGACTATCAACCACTGCGCCACCAGGGAAGCCCCCAATTCTGTTTTTAAGACCCCAGTCTTAACTATAAAGTTTGTAAAGGTGATACAGGAGTGTTTGCTACACCCTATATAGGACCACGATTTGAACTTGTTTTATTGACATCATCCCATTTTCTTCCCTCCCTACCTTTAATTATATTGTGGTGGGAATTTGAGATAGGGTGTCTTCAGGCTGATGTGAAATAGTTCTATCCCTTCAACTTCAAATTTGTACCAGGTGGCTGCTGAATGATTGGAAATCATTGACTTAGCTTGGAGACTCCAGACTTTGATAAAATGCTCATACTTTTAGACAGTGTCCTGTAGTTTGGGGAATAACTCCTAAAAGTATAAGAGGGAAGGGAATGACTGGGCATGGGGAGATTTTCCAGGCTTATGAGGTGGCTAGAGAAAAACATATCATTCTGTTTAAATCTTGGCTAGAGAGCCTGTTAAGTGTTTGGGGCAGGAAAAAACTAGGTTTGTGGCCTAAAATAATCATACAATAGTCCTGATAGGCTCTTTCTCTCTGCCCCATTCTCCTTGGAAGGAGGAAATTAGAGTTCATATTTATTTAAAATAGTTGCTCCTCCATCTTGAAGTGATTTTTATAAAAATCTTAATTCTGAGCAGCCAGCCTCAGTAAAACAATTTTGCCATCTCTTGGTTACTTGAACGACCCCCAAATAAAGGTAAATGAAAATAAGACTAACTGCTTTTAGACCACAGTGGTCTTTCCTAAAGTTCTGTAACCATTTTTCCTAAAGGAATGGAGATGGTTCCATTTATCTAGAAGGGATTATTACTGTGTCAGTCTGTGTGTACGTACACATACATGTTTTGTATAGGTGCTTCCCTTCTCCCCAACCCTTTTAGAGTTGATGGCTTTATCCCTGATTGTTCAGTATAATAGTGTGCACATTCACTAAGAGAGCTTGTGTAGTAATGCTTGCTTTATTTTTTTTTCTCTTCCATTCTTGTTTTATTTTTTACTTTTTTTTTTCCTTTGTGATGTGACATTTTCAGCTGATGTATTGAAAGCAAATCCTTCTAATTTGGGAGCCCAGATCACAAGAGTGAGTTTTTCTACTAGTGTCTTTAGCTGTGTATCTTTTTTTGTGTGTGTCTTTCTACCCTTTTCCCCTCCCAATTCAAAAAGATTCAAAACACATTTCATAAATATTAGATAAGAAAATTCCTCTGTCTGTTGCACATCATGCCTTTCAAACAAAGCAATGTCCACTTTATGTTGGGTCAGATTCCTTTTCCCAATGCTATTGTAAAAGCATAGGTTAATATATGTGTTTTGGTTTGTTTGCTTTTATATTATCTAGTATGTTGAAAATAATTTTAGTTACATCTTCATTGCAGATAGATATGTCTGGAGTCTGTCATCAGTGTGTCATAACGTTGTTGTTTTTGTTTTGTTTTAAGGAAAATTATATATAGTAGCCTCTGAGAATAAAAGACCCATTCTTTTATCAGGATTTTAAGTAATACTTTGACTTGTCTCTACTCTCCCATCTCATTCCCTGGATGTTCCTCTCAGGGCCGTGAAGGAATGAAAAGCCACACGTATTACTCTAATTTCAGCAGACTGACCAGATGAAAGTGGTCAGACTGGTGAGCTCTGAACATGCAAGCATTGGAAGATGGTTTGTTTGATTAGTTAGCAAGAAAACGGTTCATGATGAAAAGAATAGCACCTTTTTATGGTGAAATAAAAGTATGCTTTCTATTAGTCTGAATGATTCAGATAACCTCCCCATGTAAGCTGTACATTGCTTTTTAAGATCTTACACCTGGGTAATTTTCTATACTAGCTTAACCCCTTTCTGTTCTCTTTGGCTTGTGTTACTACAATTTAACTCATGTTCTATTTGTCTAGTTTTGCATCCTGGAAGAGCAGGTGATTAAATAGTCCCTTTTCTTTTCTCCTAGTGTTCTTTTCTCCTAATGTTGCTTGTTGCTTCTGAAATTATTTAATTTTACCCAATAAAGCAAATGGTATGCTGTCCTAATTATGAATGCAGATACTCCAAGTGCTTTACCCAAAGTAATCGGCCATTGTGTTTTCAATTACCATGAGAGTATAACAATGTATTCTACACTAGCGCTATAACCATTGATTATGGGTAAATATTCTGAAAGCCTTGCTTTCAGGATCCCCAGGTTATTCTAAATCACCCACTCCCTGTTCCTTCCTTTTGTTACCCAGAGATTGAAAGATCTCAAGCAGAGAGAGTTTGCTCGAAACGTCTCTTCAAGATCCCGCAAAGATGAGAAGAAGCAAGAGAAAGCCCTACGGCGGCTCCACGAGTTGGCAGAGCAAAGAAAACAAGCTGAATGGTGAGGACATTTTCTCTCCGAGGATTCTACAAATAATTATAACCCTTAAGATTTAAGAATTATAATCCTTTTTTTTAAAATTGAGGTATAATTGACATATAATCCTTCAGTTTTTAATAGATCCTTCTTTCAAACTAAAAGCGTATCTATACTTGGAGTATAACATATTAAGAATATGCACTCCTGAGGCCGTATCCTATGATCTTTGTGACCTTAGTTATCCAAGCTCCTTGCCTCAGTTTCCTTATCTGTAAGATGAAATGATAACAATTTATTTCTTATAGTTGTTGTGAGAAGTCATTAAGTTGTTATATCAAAGTGCTTATAAAAGAGTTCCTAGCACATAGAAGATGCTCAGTAAATCAGTAAATTATGCAACAATTATTATTCCCATTCTCCAGCTTATTTTTTTTTGACTGCCCTGCACGGCTTGTGGGATGTCAGTTCCCTGACCAGGGATTGAACCCTGGGCCATAGCAGTGAAAGCGCCAAATCTTAACCACTAGACCAGGGAATTCCCCTCCAGTATTATTCTTATGTAGAAAAGCATATACATCACAGTATTCTACTGGGGCACAGATTCAAGTGTTGTAACTGCCTTTTAAGTACTATAGAGTAGAGTTAGTACTAAACATTAAAACCTAGGAAATTCTATCCATTTATTTCTCTGCAGATTCCTGCCTTCTTGAGTGTTGTTTTTAATGTTCCTTCATGGTTCTTGATGATAAATTTGGGGCTGGTGTTTAGCCTTAGGTGGAATTTATCCCACCTAGGGCTGAATTTCCAAGCGACTAGACTTTGGGGACCCAGTCTTTGAGCATCTGAGAATTTGTGAGGTATGTGCCTCAATCCGAAGGACTTACGTCCCTATGTTTGTTTTTAATGGCTGGCCAGTAACAAAGGAGGAACTGGTTACAGTGGAAGGAGAAACTGTGATTGTGGCTTTTAAAACTTTACAGCCAAGTTGGGGCCAGAGTTTCCAAGGTCATAGACTCTCTGGATTTTTGTCTCTGGATCCTTTTACTTATTTACTTTTCTTTTGTTTTGGAGGAAGGAAGAAGGGAAAGAACACGTATAGTGTAAGTTTTAAAACAGAATTAACCCATGAGCTCTAATGTTGAGTTAAAATGCCTATTAAACTGGTTCTGATTCCTTCTTTGGCAGCTCTTTATGTAATAAACACATTCCTCTTGGACTTGTAGCAAGGGTACCTCCTTAAAAATATATATACTACCTCGGACTTCCCTGGTGGCACAGTGGTTAAGAATCCGCCTGCCAATGCAGGGGACACGGGTTCGAGCCCTGGTCCAGGAAGATCCCACATGCCGCGGAGCAACTAAGCCCGTGGGATAGGTTTTGTGACACAGTGAGAGTATCTCTTGCTACCCAAATCTTGTGGGTTCCATCCTGCAATAACAAGAGTTCATATAGCAAAGGGGTACCATATTATCCAAATATATTTGGTCCCTGAGTTTAGGGCAGCTAGTAGCTAGGGTTTAGATTAAAAAGACTTTATCCAAATAATTGTCTTCAGTTCTTGAGGGTGGCATGAGAGATACCTGTGTAATCCACACACTGTAAAAATTTCAGACGTGACAGGAGTTTAAAACACTGGCTTTCAGGTTCCTTGGTGCTCCTGTTTTCAAAGCTGAGAAGGTCCTTGGTAGAATTATGATCATTGTATGGAATGCCCAGAAAGTATCACAAAACCAAAGCTAATGCTTGGGCATGGTGCCAGGAGATAGGCACAGGCTCTTAGTTTCTATAACAGACATACTAACCTAACCACAAACCATCATAGTATAGCACAGTGGAGGTTTCTGACTGTGTTCAACTCAGGGAATAGGCACTTTTTTTGTTGTTTGTTTGTTTGCGGTACGCGGGCCTCTCACTGTTGTGGCCTCTCCTGTTGCGGAGCACAGGCTCCGGACGCACAGGCTCAGCGGCCATGGCTCACGGGCCCAGCTGCTCCGCGGCATGTGGGATCCTCCCGGACCGGGGCACGAACCCGTGTCCCCTGCATCGGCAGGCAGACTCTCAACCACTGCGCCACCAGGGAATCCCTAGGCACGTATTTAAAAACTGAAATTTGAAAGCACAGAAGAAATTGAGGGTTTTTTTGTTTTGTTTTTTAGCTGTATGAAATACAGTTGATCCTTGAACAACGAGGTTAGGGGTGCCAGTGACCCCCAGCCCCCACACACACTCACACATCCACACAGTCAGAGATCTGTGTACAACTTTGTAGTCAACCCTCCGTATTTCCACATCCACGGATTCAACCAACCGCAGATTGTGTGATATGTATTGAAAAAACAATCTGTGCATAAGTGGGCCCTCGCAGTTCAAACCTGCAAACCTGTATTCAAGGGTGAACTGTGCAACCTTTGTGAATAGATGTTCGGCCATATGTTTGATAGTAGGATGATACAATAAGAATTGAGAGTGGATACAGGACAGGTGGGCTGTACCAGACGGTAATGATAGTGTATTTGAATTGAGAGGTAAACCTCAGTTTTTATATTTTAGACAGCTAAGGAAGAAACAGCAGTAACTGGCTATCCTTGCGAATGTAGCTTGGTAGATTAGTAGTGTGAGACTTTGCCTAACCTCACTGAGGAAGTTCCTTTTGTTAGCACAGGGCTGGGGAATGACCACCACTCAGTGTCTTTTAAGATCTGCCTGTGATGAATGGTCAAGCATAAGGGATTAGTATCATATAAGAAGTATGAGGGACTTCCCTGGTGGTCCAGTGGTTAAGACTCCATGCTTCCTCTGCAGGGGGTGCGGATTTGATCCCTGGTCAGGGAACTAAGATCCTACATGCTGCGTGGGGAGGCCAAAAATAAAAAAAGAAGTATGAAATGTTCCCTAAACCTGTTTTTTTTTGTTTTTCATTTTTCTAAACCATTGTGTAGTGCACCTGGAAGTGGTCCCATGTTCAGACCAACCACAGTGGCTGTAGATGAAGAAGGTGGAGATGATGATAAAGAAGAATCAGCGACAAACAGTGGCACAAGTGCCACTGCCACTTGTGGCCTGGGATCTGAATTCTCCACAGATAAAGGAGGCCCTTTCACTGCAGTACAAATCACTAATACCACTGGACTGGCACAGTCTCCTGGGCTAGCCTCTCAAGGCGTCAGCTTTGGCATTAAGAATAATCTGGGGACCCCATTGCAAAAACTGGGAGTGTCATTTTCCTTTGCCAAGAAGGCTCCTGTCAAACTCGAATCAATAGCATCAGTTTTCAAGGACCATGCAGAGGAAGGGACCTCTGAAGATGGAACAAAAGCTGATGAGAAGGGTACAGACCAAGGACTGCAGAAGGTGGGAGATTCCGATGGTAGCAGTAATCTCGATGGTAAAAAAGAGGATGAAGACCCTCAGGATGGAGGGTCCCTTGCCTCAACATTATCTAAGTTAAAAAGAATGAAGCGAGAAGAAGGAGCTGGGGCTACAGAGCCAGAGTATTACCACTACATCCCCCCAGCACACTGCAAAGTAAAACCTAATTTTCCTTTCCTACTCTTTATGAGAGCCAGTGAACAAATGGAAGGTGATAATAGTACACACCCAAAGAATGCCCTAGACAGCAAAAGAAGTAGTTCTCCCAAGCCTAAAGGCTGCATCAAGGTGGCAGCAAGCCAAGGAGCAGAAAAGACAGTTGGTGAAGTCTCTGAACAGCAGATGGAAACCAGTGTGGCTGAGCCCTCAGAGCCTGAAAGCAAAGCTGAGACAAAGAAGGCCTCAGGAGGGGATGTAAGTGAGCATAGTTTAGAGAGTCAGAGTCAGAAGGATTCAGAGATCCAAATGTGTGAGTCTAATCCTCCTAAAGAAATCTCTCAGGCCACTCCAGCAGGGAAAGAAAGCCAAGAGGGACCCAGACATCCTACTGGTCCCTTCTTTCCAGTTTTAAGCAAAGATGAAAGCACTGCCCTCCAGTGGCCATCAGAACTATTAATTTTCACGAAGGCAGAACCCTCCATTTCTTACAGTTGTAATCCTTTGTACTTTGACTTCAAGCTTTCAAGGAACAAAGATGCCAGAGCTAAAGGGACAGAAAAACCAAAGGATATAGGAGGCTCCTCAAAGGACCATCTCCAAAGCCTTGATCCTAGTGAGCCAAATAAAAGCAAAGAGGAGGGAGAGAATGTAGAACATTCTTCAGGAGGCAGAATAGATGCACCTGCTCCAGGATCTGCCTGTAGCGGCCTGAATAAGCAGGAGCCTGGGGGTAGCCATGGGTCAGAGACAGAAGACACAGGGAGAAGCCTTCCTAGCAAGAAAGAACGATCTGGGAAGTCCCACCGACACAAAAAGAAGAAGAAACACAAAAAATCCAGCAAACACAAACGGAAACACAAGCCTGACCCAGAAGAGAAAAGCTCTAAGGCAGAGTCTGGGGAGAAGTCTAAGAAGCGCAAGAAGCGAAAACGAAAGAAGAATAAGTCATCAGCCCCAGCAGATTCTGAACGGGGGCCCAAACCAGAACCCCCTGGTAGTGGTAGCCCTGCACCACCAAGAAGACGGCGGCGAGCCCAAGATGATTCCCAGCGGAGATCCATTCCAGCTGAAGAAGGGAGCAGTGGCAAGAAGGATGAAGGTGGAGGCGGTGGCAGCTCCCAAGATCATGGTGGGAGGAAACACAAAGGTGAACCTCCAACTTCATCCTGCCAGCAAAGAGCTAGCAGCAAACGGAGCAGCCGATCTAGCCATCGAAGTCGACCCAGTAGTGGAGATGAGGATAGTGATGATGCTTCATCACGTCGGCTGCACCAGAAGTCTCCATCCCAGTACAGTGAGGAGGAGGAGGAGGAAGAGGAGGAAGAAGAGTCGGGCAGTGAGCATTCCCGTAGCCGCTCACGGTCTGGCCGGCACCATTCCTCTCGCCGTTCCTCCCGGCGTTCTTACTCAAGTAGCTCAGATGCTTCTTCAGACCAGAGCTGCTATAGTAGACAACACAGTTACTCTGATGACAGCTATAGTGATTATAGTGACCGATCACGAAGGCACTCCAAGCGCTCCCACGACTCTGATGACTCAGACTATACCAGTTCCAAGCACCGGTCCAAGCGGCACAAATATTCATCTTCTGATGACGACTATAGCCTCAGTTGCAGCCAGTCCCGAAGCCGATCTCGGAGTCATACTAGGGAGCGCTCAAGATCCAGGGGCCGCAGCCGCAGCAGCAGTTGTAGTCGCAGCCGGAGCAAACGGAGAAGCCGCAGCACCACAGCCCACAGCTGGCAGCGGAGTCGGAGCTATAGCCGGGACCGCAGCTGCAGCACCCGGAGCCCTTCGCAGAGATCAGGCTCCAGGAAGGGATCGTGGGGTCACGAGAGCCCTGAGGAGAGGCGTTCTGGTCGTCGAGACTTCATTCGCTCTAAAATCTACCGCTCCCAGTCTCCCCACTATTTCCGATCAGGCCGGGGAGAAGGCTCCGGGGAGAAGAAGAAAGAAGATGGCAGAGGAGATGATGGTAAAGGGATAGGCCCACCCTCCCAGAACAGCAACACTGGCCCAGGAAGAGGGTCAGAAGGTGACTGCAGCCCTGAAGACAAGAACTCTGTCACTGCCAAACTGCTACTGGAGAAGATCCAGTCAAGGAAAGTGGAGAGGAAACCCAGTGTGAGTGAGGAGGTGCTGGCCACCCCTAATAAAGCTGGGCTCAAGCTCAAGGATCCTCCACAAGGTTATTTTGGGCCCAAGCTCCCCCCTTCTCTTGGCAATAAGCCTGTCCTTCCACTGATAGGGAAGCTCCCAGCTACCCGAAAGCCCAACACCAAGAAATGTGAAGAGTCTGGCTTAGAAAGGGGGGAAGAGCAAGAGCAGTCAGAGACAGAAGAAGGGCCTCCAGGGAATAGTGATGCCCCATTTGGACATCAGTTCTCCTCAGAGGAAACAGCTGGCCCCTTATCAGACCCACCCCCAGAAGAGCCAAAGTCTGAAGAAGCTACTGCTGATCACCCCGTGGCTCCGTTAGGCACCCCAGTGCACTCTGACTGCTATCCTGGGGACCCATCCATCTCCCATAACTACCTCCCTGACCCCAGTGATGGGGACACCCTCGAGTCCCTGGATAGTGGCAGTCAACCAGGCCCTGTGGAATCCAGCTTGCTGCCTATAGCGTCAGACCTTGAGCACTTCCCCAGTTATGCACCTCCCAGTGGGGAGCCTAGTATTGAGTCAGCTGATGGGGTTGAGGATGCTTCCCTAGCCCCACTGGAAAGCCAGCCCATCACCTTCACTCCCGAGGAGATGGAGAAGTACAGCAAGCTCCAGCAGGCCGCACAGCAACACATCCAGCAGCAGCTTCTGGCCAAGCAAGTAAAGGCCTTTCCCGCCTCGGCTGCCCTGGCCCCAGCCACTCCAGCCTTGCAGCCCATCCACATTCAGCAGCCAGCCACAGCCTCTGCCACCTCCATCACAACTGTTCAGCATGCCATCCTGCAGCATCATGCCGCAGCTGCTGCTGCCGCCATTGGCATTCACCCCCACCCTCATCCCCAGCCGCTTGCCCAAGTACATCATATCCCCCAGCCCCACCTGACCCCCATTTCCTTGTCCCACCTCACTCACTCGATCATCCCTGGCCATCCTGCCACCTTTCTAGCTAGCCATCCCATCCATATCATTCCCGCCTCAGCCATCCATCCTGGGCCCTTCACCTTCCACCCTGTTCCACATGCTGCCCTCTACCCTACCCTACTTGCCCCCCGGCCTGCTGCAGCAGCTGCCACTGCCCTCCACCTTCACCCACTACTTCACCCCATCTTCTCAGGTCAGGACCTGCAGCACCCCCCCAGCCATGGAACATGAGTTGGGGGATACGAGCCCAGGTAGGGCCAGGGAAGGTGACCCATAAATCTTCCCTTGGGGTGTTGAGCCATTAATACCAGCAAGTAGAAGCTGGAATGGGCAGTGTCTGACAGCCAAAGAATTGAGTTTTGGCTTGCAGGGGTGGTTTTAGATTTGAGGTTTGCTTTGGGTTTACTATCAGGGATTTTTTTCCCTTTTCCCCTTTCTGTTTGTCCCTCCCTCTCCTGTGTTTCTAAGCTTGGGAACACCAGTAAGTGCTACCCACCCCTCTTTGGCAACATCTCCAAACTGTTGAGTTTAGATACTCCCCTCCTCTCTACTTTCTATCCTCTGCACTTGTCTATAAATTTTAAAACATTTTCCTCCTCTCTGGCTGGCGGGTTTTCCATCTGGTCCTGCCTTATCAGTGTCTTTGACCTTGGTGACCTTATTTATCCCGGGTGAAGTGGAAAGGGAGTCTGACCTGGAACCAGGTGCCACTCAGGCTGTCATTCGATCCACTTCCCACACAAACAGCCACACATTTGGCACTGTTGTCCTCGTGTTCCTCATCCCAGAAGAGACATCTGCATATCCCAGAAAAGAAGATCCTATCGTGAATAGAAGCTATGCGGAACATAGTCACCCATGTGCTTCCCCAGAGAGGAGCTCATGTGTCTGAAGGGTGTATTTTCTTCTGTCATGTTGATGTTTCCTTCTTAATTTATAGGATTTTTTAATGTAAAAAATTGCACTGAACTCTATAAACGTAAATGCTGCTTTTTGTAGCTCATATAAAAAAGGTTCCATATTTGTAGTATACTGCAATAATATTTTTTACATCCAGCTCTTTAAGTGATCCTTGTTCTGGTGGCTTTGTGTAAATATGTTTGCCCTAGTTGAATTAAGAAACTTTAAAGGTTATAAAATGAAAACAAAAAAATAAAGTATTTGTTTTCTGCTAGATGCAAAAATGACTAAGCATGTATATTTTATCAAGCTCATGTATTTTTTGAAGTTATGAACTATAAAAACGTTAAAACAGAAAAAGGAACGTTGTTTAACATTCTTTGCAGAGACAAAATTTGTAGTAAGTGGTGCCCCCAGCACTAGAATTTTTGAACTAATGGGCAGCAGTCAGCTGGGGGTGCCAGAGGGATACTCAGTTACGACAGAGTCTCCCTCACGTGCTTCGCTGTTTTATACAGAGAAACAGGTGCACCCCACAGAGGAGGAGAGAGAGATTCAAGAGCTTTATTCTCTGGAAGCAGTGAGATTCAGTATGATTGTCCTGGGGGATTCCTGGGTTTCAGGGGTGCCTGTCCCAGGCAGTCCATTTGCCTTCCTAGTACTTAGCCCCCTCTGACAAAATTTTTTAATGTGCCTTTTGGGTTGGCTAGAAACTGAAGTAGAAGTAGACTGGAGGGTGATAGAGTTGGGACAGTTTTTCCTCCTCCACTTACTGGGAGGTGAGCACATTTATAGATTCTGCAGATTGTTTTGCTTCATTGTTTCCATGCCTTCTACCCAGCTTAGTTTAAGCAGTAAAGATACCTTTTTTCTTTTCTCCCATGACACTTATCAGGGGAAGTACCACCTCAATTCCTCTTCCTCCTCTTCTTGCGTTTCACCCGGCTCTCAGACCTAATTAATACACTGACCCAAAGGTGTTTATATTGTAGGTCTCATCTTCTTTGGTGTAGTTAGTACTTCCCTGTTTGGCATATCCCTGCCTATTCCTGTGGCTAGAATTGGTTGGGTGGTCACCTGACAGGAAAAACAAGCCCTTCTTACGTGGGCCAGGGCTCTGTTCTGCCTTTCTTCTTCAATTTCCAAAAGAGAAAGGCTTTGAGTTGATGACAAGCAAGTGCTGGGCAAACAAGACTCTTGACTGAGCCTTCTGCCTGTTCAGTGCTTCCTCATCTGATTCAGAAGCATCGCTTTTTTGATAACTAGCACTGGAAAATGAAATCATCTGTTTGAAGTGAAGGGACTCATTTTTCTTTGCTTTCAGCCCATGTAAATATTTAAATAATACAGTATTAACATTTTTGTGCTGCTTCCCATTAGCTTGTAGATTGAGCCATACTCTGGCTGCCTCTCTGCCTTCCTGGAGGCAGTTTCCTTTAATTTCCAGAATAGTGATTTTAAAACTAAAAAAAAATAAATAAAAATAACCTATCCTTACTTACAAGCATAACAGATTGTATTTAACTTTATCACATATGATAGAGATATATATGCTGTAAAATTAGGGAAAGGAACTTTCTAATAAACCAATGATTTGTGGAAACTTAGAGTCTGTCGTGATTGTTGCCCCATCCACTCAAGTGGGGAAGGGATGGAGGGAGTTATGGTTTACAAATAACATCTTGTTTGAAGTGATCATAGATTCTTATGAACCATATGATGTTTAGACTGTGCTTCTCAAAGCTCAGCCTGCCCAAGTAGAGGGGAAAGCTTATGCTGTGGGAGGAAGTAAGGGTTAAGTTTCTCAGTCTTATGGAGGTGTCTTGGAATGTGCACCTCCTTTCCACCCTTCCCCAGATTCTTTTTTTTTTTTTTTTTTTTTTGCCTTGCTGAGCTGCATGCGGAGTCTTATTTCCCAGACCAGGGATTGAACCCGTGCCCCCTGCAGTGGAAGCGAGGAGTCATAACCACTGGACCACCAGGGAAGTCCCCCAGATTCTCTTCTATTTCTATCCTTTTGCTCATTTTAGATGTACAATCTGTGTGTAGTAGAATGTATGGCAAATAGGTGCTCACTAAATGTGTTTGGAATTTCTAGCTTTGATTTTTGGGATTTTGGATGGACTTCAGGGCAATTGAGATGAGTCACCTGCCTGGCCTTTGCCCTCCAGATGGAGTTTTGTATACCAGAACCAGTCCTGAATTATTCTCCTCAACCCTTTAATACCACTACAGTGCTTGAGAGCTACCTGGTAAAAGGAAGTATGTCCTAATTGTTACTGAGCAGATAAAAGCCTCTATCTACTTTTCTGTATGGAAAAGTCTCAAAAGGCAGGGAAAGTTCAGCATTAAAAGCTAACCATAGATCTGTAGTGATAAATTAGTTTCCTCTCTTCCTCAACCTTTCAGGAAGGAACAGTACATGGTCTATTTCTTTCCTACTCTCATACAGCTGTGTTCTCCCCTTGACAAAAGAGTAGCTATTCAACTTGAACCTTGGGTTGGATGCTCAGATCTATTTCTCTAAAATAGAAAAATCCCTGCCCTAAAAAGATGAAAATGAAAAGTGGGAATTCCCGGGAGGTCCAGTGTTTAGGACTCGACGCTTTCACTGTGGTGGCCCAGGTTCAGTCCCTGGTCAGGGAACTAAAATCCCGCAGGCCACGTGGCACGGCCAAAATAAAGAAAATGAAAAGTGATTTTTTGAGCAGGCAAGGTGTCAGCGAAAGATGCAGACACGTGTAGAGAGTATGCTGTGTGGAGGTATGTGCAGCTGCCTGATTCCAGTAGGGGTTCTATCTGTCTCAGCTGCCTGGGCTTGCAACATGGAAGTACTCCCTCTTCAACACCCTCAGTGACTAATTCAGGCCTTGTGAACCCTTTCCATTCTTGTTTGCCAGGGATACCTTCACCTCCCCCTTACCTCGTGTCTGAATTATTGCAGCATTTTCCTGGCTGGCCTCCCTGACTCTAGGATCTAAGTCCCTGTCCCATGTAAGCTTACTGGCTTTTCAGAATCAGAGTGCAGTTCATTTTGTACTCATTGCTTCCCAGTAAAATTGTAAGCTCTGAGAGGGAGGGACTGACTCTTATACTTCCTTTTTTCTCTTAATCCCTTAGAGTGTTTTATATAGAGTTGAACACATAGTAAACATTTTGATTATGTGTTCAAGAAAGAAAAGCAAAGTAAAATACCACTAGTAACAGGATTATGCATCAGGATTTAGCAAGGAAACATCAAAGATGAAGATTTTTCTGTATATCCTCCACACTGCCAAGCTCAGTGCCAGGCACATAGTAGAAGTTCAATAATTTTTGACTTTATGAAGCCGTAGCATTCATTGAGAAATTCTAGGACTCAGGCTGATGGAACGGGAAAGTGACAGCAATGTGTCAGCACTCCTCTGCCTACTATCAACCCAGCTCTGACCCCAAAGGAACACCCAACAAGGAATAGAATCTTTATTAAATACCAAACTCTCCCTTCCCAAATCTGATCCTACCTGTTTCCAATTTCAGTTAATGATACTACAGTCCTACCAGCCAGCCACCAAAGCTTTGAATTACTTTTGACACCTCCCTACTACACAAAGGAGAGAGCAGAGATTACACATCCAGTTACTGATGTAACTGGATGTGTTATCTCTGCTCTCTCCTTTGTTCCTGCCACCAGTACCCTGGTTCAGGCCTCATCACCTTTAACTGAGAGGATGGTAGATGCCACCCATCTGATCTTCCCACTAAGTCCTGCCTTTTCCAGTTCCTTCTATCCATAGGCAGCTAGTGTAATCCAGACTGGTGCACAATTGATCATGTATCTTATTCCCTGACTTAAAAAATCTTTATGATTCTCCATCTCCTATGTATTAAAGTTCAAATTCCTTAAGATATTCAAGGACCTCCAGTGATTAGACCCCAGCCTTCCATTCCACTCTCATGCCCCAGTCCTCCCCTTTAGACACCCTATGTTGACTACTTGCCTTTCTCTATAACTGACCTCTATGTCCTCCTGCTGCTCTCTTTGCTTATGTTATTTCCTATGTCTAAAAACCCCTTCATTCTCTTATTTCTTTATTGGCTGAGTCGGGTCTTAGTTGCGGCACTCTGGATCTTTCCTTGCGGCACTCGGGCTTCTCTCTAGCTGTGGCTTGTGGGCTCCAGAGCGTGTGGACTCTAGTTGTGGCCCACATGGGCTCAGTAGTTGTGGCACTCGGGCTTAGTTGCCCCGCAGCATGTAGGATCTTAGTTCCCCAACCAGGGATCGAGCCGGCGTCCCCTGCATTGCAAGACGGATTCTTAACCACTGGACCACCAGGGAAGTCCCCCTCTTCATTCTCTGACAAAAGGCAATGTAGTGCAATGGTTAAGAACATGAATTCAGACACGAATGTCTGACTCCTAGTTTTGCCACCCATTGGCTGTGTAAACTTGGGCTATTTACCTAAAACTCTGTGCCACAGTTTTTGCATTTATAAAATGGGCATAATAGTACTTATTTCATAGGGTTGTTATGATGGAGCAAATAAATGACTTCAGCTAGGCATCATCTCTACCTTTTTCAAGGCATCCTTTACTATCCCTCCGCTGCAGTTATATGTGTTCTTGTCTTAACTCCCTCTGGACTAAGTTTTTTAAGGATCCTTGACAGTTATCTTTGTATCTCTTACCACTCAATGCCTTGAACAGAATGAGAATTTATTAAAAATGTTAGTGAAATGTGAGTTAATTTGGGGCTATACACCAGTAATACAATACCACTCAGATGAGGACAGTAGGAGGGTGGAAGGTTAAGTATATGACTGAGTTGAGTATTATGTGCCTGCCATGAGCTTGGCACTGGGAATTCAGCAGTGAAGAAGGCCCAGACTAAAGTTCAAGGAGCTTCTAACCTAGAAAGGGATAAGATTTTGTGCTGTGTGCTAAGGTGGTGAATTATGAGGGCAAGGGAGGTGCTGAAGGGGTTCCAGAATGGCCCGGGTAGTTGGGCAGGGTAAGATGATGGTTAAGTTTGATCAGAAAATATAGAGCAAAAGGAAATGTGACTGTGTTCTTTACCCCTAGCAGATCTCTTGAATTTCCTTCCTGACAACATGCTTTTTGGGGAAGACATGAGATGCCAATAAGACTTGGCACTCCTCCTCCTCTGAGCATCCATAGAAAATGATCTTTCTGCTCAAAATTATTTCTTTTCTTTCCACTATGTGAGCCTGCGTTTGCTTCTTCCATCCTCAGTGCCTGCTTCTATTCAGTCTGTCTGTCAGTAACGCCTACAATATGTTGGGCTCTTGGCTAGGGGCTGCAGAAAGGAACCTCACTCTCAAGGGATTCATGGACAAAATCCAGTGAACAGACCATGACTAAACGGTGTGATCGGTGCTGTGCCCATGTGTGTTAACCGCAGAGTACCAGCCTGAGGAGTTGGGGGAGGCATCCCCTAGGCAATGACCCCACTAGAATCAAGCCTTAATGATTGGACAAAAGCTCTTGTCACCCAAGAAAGAGTGAGGCCTGCCTTCAGTTGAACAACTGGTGCAAATCTCAGAGCGTGTGAGCCAGAACACCCTGGAATGACTCCACTTTATCCCCATCTCCTTTCCCCTTCAGCCAAGATCCATTTGCCACCCCTCCCCCAGCACTGGCTGCATTGCTGTGGCCACATTAAGACTTGGCCCCAGATGGACGATGAGTGAGGAAGCTGTTGTACCAATATGGCTGAGTGAAGCTGCCGAAGGCCCTAGAAGGAGGAAGTGGATAAGTGCCTTATCCAAAAGGCTACAGCAGCCTCGGGTCTTATCAGGGGGCAGGAGCTTCCTCACTCCTTCCCCCACCTCTGACCAAGTCACAGTGTGCCTTGGCAGTGCAGGCAGCTGTGTGGGGGGAGGAGGAACTATAGAACTGGGGGCTAGAGTGGAGGTGTACAGACCAGCTGGTATCCCAAGCAGGAAGCAATGGTGGCTTAGACTAGCGTGGTGGTAGTGGAGATGGGGTGAAGATTCAAGAGACATAGTTGAAAGGC